TTTTAAGATGGAGTCTCGCTCTATTGCCCAGGCATAGCATGATCTCGGCTCACTGCAATCTCTGCCACCCAGGTTCAAGCAATTATCCCACCTCAGCCTCCTAAATAGCTGGGATTACAGAAATGTGCCACCATGCCTGGCTAATTTTTGTATTTTTAGTAGAGATGGGGTTTCACTTAAACTCCTGGTCTTAAACTTCTGGCCTCAAGTGATCCACTCACCTCAGCCTCTCAAAGTGCTGGGATTATAGGCATGAGCCACTGCGCCTGGCCAGGAAATTCCCATCCTGAGTGACACCCTTCCTTATTCTTTTGCAATAGAATGAGTTTTAAAAGAATATGAATGTAGGACATGAAGGATAGTGGGGAGAAAAAAAAAGCAGAAGGAAACTGCACTTTATGTTATATATATGCAACCCACTATTACAGAATTTTCATCTTTATTCTGTTAACCACAAAATGGTCCAGGTGTGGTGGCTCACATCTGTAATCCCAGCACTTTGGGATGCCAAGATGGGCGGATCACCTGAGGTCAGGAGTTCGAGACCAGCCTGGACAACCATCACGGTGAAACCTCGTCTCTACTAAAAATACAAAAATTAGCTGGGTGTGGTGGTGCGTGCTTGTAATCCCAGCTACTTGGGAGGCCGAGGCAGAAGAATCACTTGAACCTGGGATTTGGAGATTGCAGTGAGCCAAGATCGCGCCACCGCACTCCAGCCTGGGCAACAAGAACACAATTCCATGAAAAAAAAAAAGAGAAAAGAAGGAAAAAAAGAAAGTAAGCAAGTTAGTTAGTACCAATCACAAAAATTTCATGAGAAAGATTCAACCTGAGGGAACTGCAGGCTGTCCAACAGAAAGGTAAGAATTAACTCAGAGATTTGAACTAGAAACTTCCCTTAAAGAGGTTCCTTCATGCCTGAGGGGACATGTTTTTCATTTTCAAAGTAACTGGCATCACCAAATGACAGAATCAAAGAGAAAACAATGGACTGTCAGAAAATTTCTAAGCTGTAAGACTCTTAGCAAATAGTTACACTGACTTCATTACAACCAGCAAAGTTAAATGACTTGTCCAGAGTCACCAATGAAGCCCGACAGAATGTTACTGACCTTATTTTTATCTGTACAACCTGCTTGAACAAGTCCAAATGTGTTACAAATCTTAAAAATGTTGATATATTTATACTCCAAGAAATTCCATCTAGAAATTACATGAAAATTCCATCTATACAGTGCCTTGCACGGAGGTGTTTAATATTTCTTAAACAGATGCCCTAATGGTGTCTCACGCCTATAATCTCAGCACTTTGGGAGGCCACAGTGGGAGGATCACTTGAGACCAGAGGTTCCAAGACCAGCCTGGGCAACAGAGTGAAACCCCAATTTTCCAAAAAGTAGAAATATTAGCCAGGTGTGCTGGTACATGCCTGTAGTACCTACCTCAAAAACAAAACAAAACAAAACAAAAAAGAAACCCTAAACCCAACTATCCAAAAGGCGATATGCTGCAGAGAATGAACAGTAGGAAGAAGATAGAGATAGCAGATTCCCAGGCCAGACAAGAGGCTGTCAAGGCTGCAAGTGTCTACAGCTATACATGACTGAACATTAAAAATGGGGACGAGAACTGAGAGAATTCACTTAATATCAAAAACCAGCTGACTGTGGGAAACACAACAATTAGATCTTGTATAATAACTTCACTAATGGTGAATGTCCCCAACCCCATATATGCTCACACAGAATGTCCTCAACCCCATATATGCTCATATAGAATGTCCCCAACCCCATATATGCTCATGTAAACTTTATGACCAAAGGAAAAGAGGTATTACTCACCAGCTGATACAAGTTTTCCCAATAGTCCTGGGTCATAAGGCGAAATAATGCCAAGAAGGCCCAGCTAAAAGTGTCAAAGCTTGTGTAACCATAGTTGGGGTTCCTTCCTGCTTTCATACACTGGTATCCCTCTGGACATTGCCTGAAGGAAGATAGGGAAGTTTAGGACTTTTCAACATAATTCCACCCAGCCATGACCTTGGAGATAATAAATAACATAATTCTATTTACTCCATGACCTTGGAGGTAATAAATAACCATCGATAGAGCCAGGCTAACAAATTGGAAGAAAAAGAAAAAGAAGGAAGTAAGCAGCTAGCCAACTTTTGGGGATAGCCTAGGATAAGAATCACCTGGCATGTCCTTTAAAAATGCAGATTTGGCCGGGCGCGGTGGCTCAAGCTTGTAATCCCAGCACTTTGGGAGGCCGAGGCGGGTGGATCACGAGGTCAAGAGATCGAGACCATCCTGGTCAACATGGTGAAACCCCGTCTCTACTAAAACTACAAAAAATTAGCTGGGCATGGTGGCGCATGCCTGTAGTCCCAGCTACTCAGGAGGCTGAGGCAGGAGAATAGCCTGAACCCAGGAGGTGGAGGTTGCGGTGAGCCGAGATCGCGCCATTGCACTCCAGCCTGGGTAACAAGAGCGAAACCCCGTCTTAAAAAAAAAAAAAAAAAAAATGCAGATTCCTGTGTCCTTACCCAAATCTAGGAATTAAAAGTTCTGGATATGGGATCTATGAATCTGCATTTTTAAAAGGTATGCCAGGTGATTCTTATGCATGCCAAAGTGTGAGAAGTACTGTTCTAGATTCATATCAATCAATGTGTAATTCAATGAAATTTAACTTAGCTACAATCCCAAATGACAAACAGCTAGAATTTCCTCTTAATCATCTTTGTTTTCTTTACACTCACTGTGACAACCTAAGTCATAATGGACATTTCAGTGACCTCGGTTACAACATTTCTCCTGCTTTTAGATTCACCTCATATTTCTTTCAATGTAATCTCTAGTAATCTACTTTAATATAGAAATTAAATGGGCTTCTAGATATCGTGGTCATGTTAAAATACCAGTTTTTAGAGGATCAATAGACTCTGAGAAATGACACTACCACCACCTTACATTTATAAAGCCTTCTGTTTACAAAGCACTTTCATGTAATGTAAGTGGATCTTTACAGTAATGAATGTGAGGAAGAGAAAGCATGGCTTATCAAATAAATCCATTTTATGGATGAAAAAAATCAAGGCTCAGATATGTTAAATGGCTTGCCAAAGGTCTCAGATCAGGAAGTATCATGATCAGGACTCAAATACTACATTGCTACTCTTTTTCCTCCTCTATGCTGTCAGGTCAAGCATATTTTGGGTCATCCTAGGATGGATAACTATCACTAAGATGGTATCTTTACTCTCTACCATACCATAGGATGAGAGGAGTCCCCAGGAGACAGGTAAGCTATCTGGTATTATTGATTCTATCCTTAGATTCTTTGATTTTGGCTTGAGACTATAAGCACAGTCACTTACTAGTAAAATGTCAACTTTAGATGGACAAATATGAAACAGAAAGAAAATCTACGTCAACCGATAGGTCACATGCAATTGTAAGGTCTACCACGTGAGCACAAAGAAAAGTAAAAATATTGCCTATTTTGACCCAACTTATAATAGGTACATTATTTTAAGGAAAGAGAATAAAACTAGGTGAGCTACTTACCCAGCATCAGAACTGTTCCCACAGAGTAAAGGTTCTAGCATGCCAGGAACTGTGTAGAAATTTGCTAGAAAAGTTTGAAGAGGCAGGAAATGAACAGGGATTTAAGTGAATCAGAGAATAAGGTTCCACTGTTCCTAACTAGCCCCAGCAGAAACAGTTACTGACTTTAGCTCATAAATCTTTTCCAATGGCTGTGGCAGCTGGTAATTCTTTCCCATTAATGATTTCCTTATAAATCTTTACAAATTAAAAGTGCTACCCCAAAGACCTTGATGCAATATAGTTTGCACAGATACCCAACTTTCATTCATACTTCAAATCTATATGCTAGACTCTGGTACTTAAAAGGGCCTAAAAGTAAGTTTTCTGAGTTCTAAAGCCCTTTATACCACTCTATTCTTCTATCCTTACAACTTGTCTTTATCAAAGATATTTTAGAGCTTGTTGGTCATTAGATACTAGGTCCTATTTTAAATTAGAAGGCATGTTTTCCTTTCCAGCATATGTCCCTGAAATCTTCTTTGTAACATTTTCTTTTTTCTTTTTTTTGAGACAGAGTTTGGTTCTTGCTGCCCAGGCTGGAGTGCAATGGTGTGGTCTCAGCTCAATGCAACCTCCACTTCGAAGGTTCAAGCAATTCTCTTGCCTCAGCCTCCCGAGTAGTTGGGATTATAGGCATGAGTCACCACGCCCAGCTAATTTTTTTTGTATTTTTAGTAGAGACAGGGTTTCACCATGTTGGCCAGGGTGGTCTCGAACTCCTAACCTCAGGTGATCCAGCCACCTTGGCCTTCCAAAGTGCTGGGATTATAGGCATGAGCCACCATGCCTGGCCTTTTGCAACATTTTCCTGTGGCTACTAAACTGACTTTATTTTCTCAGGAATGACTAATAGTGACATCACTAACTTTTTTTCATGAGTCTAAAGCAGTATCATTACATCAAGGTTTCCTTAAGAAAAGACCTAAGTACTTTGGTTCCTCAAATAAAATGATTAAAACTCCCTAACTGCAATAGGATTTGAGTAGTACCTTGGAGATCGCCTGATTCCCTAGGCTAGATAGACTGCAATAGTCTTAGTAATATTAAGAAAACTTGAGTTCCATAGATACATTCTGGACTAAATGTGTAAATATCCTAAGTAACTCAGCCAGGGAAAAAATAATTTTTATCAAGCTTCTAAGCCTAAATTTCAAAGTAAAAGTTTCGGGGTACATGTGAAGAAGGGAGAAAGGACTGATGTTCAAGAGCTTCTGAACACAATCCTACCTCGAGGAAAGGAATAATTTCACAGGGCTAGTTCTAGTAGCACTGCCATTCCTTTCCATCTCCAACTACTTTCTTTCTTTCGAGATGGAATTTCACTCTTGTTTCCTACACAGGCTGGAGTGCAATGGTGCGATCTCGGCTCACCACAACCTCCACCTCCTGGGTTCAAGCAATTCTCCTGCCTCAGCCTCCCAAGTAGCTGGGATTATAGGCATGCACCACCACACCCAGCAAATTTTGTATTTTTAGTAGAGACGAAGTTTCTCCATGTTGGCCAGGATGGCCTCAAACTCCTGACCTCAGGTGATCTGCCTGCCTCAGCCTCCCAAAATGCTGGGACTACAAGCGTGAGCCACCACATCCAGACTACAACTACTTTTTAAAGCCCTGTGGTAGCTTCTGACCATGTGAACTAGTAATACACTTTTCCTATTCCTCTTGCAGTGAGAGGCCACCTACTTTTATTGTTGATATACTCTTCCCAATCAAATCCTTTGGTGCCATTTTCAAGATAGCTCTCATTGAAGTTTATGGGCCACACAACACACTTGTTTCGAAGGTTCCCCATGAACAGCTGCAGTCCAATCAAGGCAAAAACACTCAGGCAGAACACTGTCAGGATCATCACATCTGACAGTTTCTTCACAGACTGAATCAGGGCACCCACAATTGTCTTCAGACCTGAGGAGACAGAATCCCTGGAATCAGAGGCACCCCAAAGCCCTCCCCACCTCCCCCAGCCTTCCTCTTAGCCACTGGCTGCTACTCCTCCCCACAGCACCACTCTTGAAATATGGCCACTTTATTTTTATACCATGAGAATAATAATAGGTCAGCAAAAATAAACATAAAAAAATATTCCGGAAGTATCCATTTTTAGGTGAATACATCTGAAAAAGCAAAACAAAGCTCCTTCTACCAACAACATGGGGCCCCCTTCTTCCTGGGAACGCTTTCCCGTCTCTGACTACTTTTTAGTTCCCCACAAGAGCCAAGCTCTTGCTTGCATTAGGGCCTTCATACCTGCTGCTCCCTCTCCCTGGAATGCTCCCTGTTATATTACCTTGTCCTCTTTGCCTAACTCCTACTCATCCTTCAAGGTCCAGTTCAAATATCAATTCTTCCAGAAAAGCCTTTTCTGACTTCGCCACGCTTCTCCCTCCCCATTGTTACTACTGTCTCAGTAGCATCTTATACTTTCTTCTGTAGCATTTATTATGGTTATAACTGATGTTTTACATCTGTTGTGTTCACAGCAGGATCTACAGTATGTATTCAGCAAATATTTGTCAAAGAAACAAATGGAAAAATCAAGAATTGAGGAGGTCTCCAGGTGGAAAGAAAACCACTGGGAAGTTTAAAAGCCAATAATAAGTGAGAAGGTACAATAATATTTTGCCAAGGACTCTGGAAATGCCAGAGTATTGAAAAGGTTATTATTAATCCAGTATTTATATTTTGTCATTTTCCATTTAAAAATACACTTTTTCTGTATCACATATATTCCCCTGTATTCTACAATTATCTTTTTTCTGTCCTAAATTAAAAACAAAAACATAAAAAATTTTTAATTTGAAGTTTAAATGCAAGACACTGGCTCAAATGTAGACTGAAGGTATATTTCTTAATTGCACAGGGAGAGATCAGTGATAGGAGATACAGAAAAATATGGTTGTAGGTTCATGCTTTTTGGGTCCAAATGAGTCTTTATGTGCCCAGATACCAGGTTATCCATAGGACATGGCCAACAAAGAGCCTTCCATGGAGACTGTGGCCACAAAGAAATTATGAAGAGTTTGCCTGGGCTCCAGGAAACAAAGCACTTCTAATCTGATTCTTTTTCTCCTCATGGGGCTGTACAAAAAAAAGCATCAGACAGGGAATCAGAAAGCTGGTATTCTGGTCCTGGCCCAGTCACTGCTTATGACCTATTGTATTTCAAATCGAATTTAAGGTTACTTCTCAGGGTCTCATTTTCTCGTCTACAGAACCTGGATAAACATAGCACTACATAGCAGTGGGCAGTGGTGGAGAAGCTGAAGAATCTTCTCTAAAAGTCTTTCAGAATAAGGCAGAGATGTTTATTTGTTTGAGATTAAGAAACTGAAACTTCAAACTATCTTTTAAACCTAAGGCCCTGGAAAATCGTACCATAATCACACAGCTAGGTAAGAAGGTACTGGTGAAATAAAGTAGAAAGCAGCCATCAAGGAGTAAAAATTGTTCCAGTGAAATGGAATTTATTTCCATTCAGTTGCTAAGGAACACAGAAGTCCTCATTATATTTTGACTGGATGGAGGGGGTCTATATTGAGTCAATAATTCAATCCCAGGCTTTTAAAATTATGCAAGGTTACTGTTTTCAAGTCAAAGACTGATTTAAAAAAGAATACTTGAATGGGTCACTAAAAATGGTTGTAGAGTTTCTTTTCCTGGACTTTGTTATGAGGCTTACACAGCCATCTCTCCAGACGATTCAGGCAATCACCTTTTAAAACACCAGATGACTGTTAAAGGACTTTACCATCGCTATTTTACTGAATTGAGAAATGAGCTGTAAGCTGTCCTCTGTATTAGTAACCAGAGTATAATAGCACAAAATAGCCAAACCAATTTTGTAAGTAAATAATTTGAGTTTGTAAGTAAATAATTTGAAAAGCATACACTTTTAGCATGCAACACAATAATTTGAGTTTGTAAGTAAATAATTTGAAAAGCATACACTTTTAGCATGAGTAGAATCTGATTTTCCTGAGCTGGAAACTCTTTGACAATTCCAGACCTACGTAACTGGAAATTCTAGGCCATGAGCTCCAACTATCTCCTGTTCCATAAGAATGAACTCTCAGCAGCCATGTCTGTACAAGGTCACCTTCTCTCAGTAGCTGCAGATGCCTGGGTGGACATCTGACCTAAATCCAGATCCCTTCCTATGGGAATTTTGAGTAATCTTTTCATGTGGTGGGAATGTAATAAATAAATTTGGAAACTAAGTGGTAGCCATATTCTGTCATATTAAGATATGACTGAGAAGTAAAGGAAGTTAGTATGCTGAGAGAGAGAAATGGACACTTGGAGAGAAGAGAGATGGAGACAAAGTACTTCCTGGTACCTGTGGCTTTCTGGCTCTGCATTCTGGTTTCTACTGGCTTCCCAGAAGCACAAGTGCATTCCAGCCCTTAGGTTCCCTGAATCATTCCTGTGTCCTGTTACTTGCAACCAGAAATGACCCCTACTAATCTGACATAACTCACCACTTTCCTGGGGATGGACCCAAATGCTCACCACAGTCAGCTGGTTTAACATCTCTTCTCCATAAGCCAGATGTTATTGCTGAAGAAATGTGTAAACATGAGTCGAGGAAGCTAAAAAGACACTTTTCAAGCCTCAGCTTTGAAGTCTGGGGCTTAGATGATCTCGTTGGTGAGTTAGCTTTCAAGATGTTTAAAGTAGAAACTTAATTGGAAATGGTATTCAGCTGCTTATACTTCACAGTGGGTCAGAGAAACAAATCTTAATTAAGCAAGGGTAATCACTAAATAACATTAACGACAGCCATCTAAAAAGTTTAGTCTCCAAGAATCCCATCCAGATCACCAAGAGAAAATGAGAAGGCAAAGGAAAAAGAAGAAGAAAGGTGATGTGTCTTAATGTTTTCAGGTAAAGGAAGGCACATGATCACACAGCAATATTAAATATAAACAATCACTGAATTATACATTGGTTTCAGCCAAGACTCTTCTTCCTTCCATTAGGATTAATTGCAAATGGCCATATTTGCAGGCATCAATCCCAATTTATGGAGATGCCATAGTCAAGTCATTTCTTAAGCTCAAGCTCTATTGCCTTGCCAGCTGTGACTGCCTGAAAGTCCTCCCTCATACCATCAATACCTGTCAATAAAGGCAAAAAGCTGTTAGTAGAATTCCTGACCTGACACAAGCCAGAAATGTAGAATGCCACCATTCTGGAGGTACAGAGGCACTGTCTTTTTATTCTATTGACTCACAACATCAGATGCCAGAACAAGCAAGATACTGACTGAAAACCAATTATCCCAAACAGAGCAGAATGCTTCTTCAAAAAACTCCTACACAACAGAGGGTGCAACAGAAGCCATGTGGGGCAAACTGGACAGTGAGAACTCTTGGAAAAGGCTAACATTAGCTCACTTTGGTGTGTGTCTGAGTAGAAACAGTTAATACATTTACTATAGGCCAAGAAAAGACAGCTGTATTCAATGTAGAGAATGGTCAGTGACAGGAGGGAAAGCTGGATATTTAAGGAATTTTGAGAAGCAGATGAAGAATTCTACTCTATGTCCAAAAGTACCTCTGAACCTCTCACAATGCCCAGGAATCCTTTGAATAAATGAACAACGCATGCCTATGTGCTATGTCCAGAGAAATTAGTCATGCATATTGGGGTCAAAATCTTTCAACACTGGGATGGCCAGATTATAAATAAAGTTAATTTGCCGGGCATGGTGGCTCACGCCTGTAATCTCAGCACTTTGGGAGGCCGAGGCAGGTGGATCAACTGAGTTCAGGAGTTCAAGACCAGCCTGGCCAACGTGGTGAAACCCCATCTCTACTAAAAATACAAAAATTAGCCAGGTGTGGTGGCGCATGCTTATAATCCTAGCTACTCAGGAGCCTGAGGCAGGAGAATAGCTTGGACCCAGAAGGCGTAGGTTGCAGTGAGCTGAGATCACATCATTGCACTCCAGCCTGGGTGACGGGCAAAACCTCTGTCTCAAAAAAATATACATATATATATATATAAATAAAATAAAGTTAATTCATATTCCCTAGTTTGTAGTTCAGGTGGAGAAATTTAAGTGGTTTAAAGCAATGTGAGCTAATTCCCTTATAAAATTAATATTCAAACAGGCTTCAGTAGCAGTAACAAGCAGTTCTCAACCCAGGGAAAGAACAACTGCCCTTTTCCCAGAGTCAGGCTTGAGTTCAGACAAATCACAGGGTAAAGTAGTGTCATGTTGACTTTCCTGCTGCAACTGCAAGCCTTGCAATAATAGTTATTTATTTATTTAGAGACAAGATATTACTAAGCTGCCCAGGTTGGAATGCAGTGGCTACTCACAGGTGTGGTCACAGCTCAATGCAGCCTCAAACTCCTGGGCTCAAGTGATCCTCTGAGTCAGCCTCCTGATTAGCTGGGACTATAGGTGTGTACCACTGCACCCAGCCTACAGTGATAGTTCTTGAAGGTTCTTCAGAGTAACAGTAATTTGAGAGAGATTTGAGGACTCTAGATTTCTTTACTAGAGACCGGATTTACAGCACAAAGTGTAACCAAAACTAAATTAGCTCTCAAAGATGGGTCAGTGGAATCCTGTGAGTATTTTGTGTTTTTTCACTTAGGACCACTGTTAAACTTTAGTTATCTTTCCTAAGAAGCAATGTGGGAAAAGGAGAAATACAAAGGCAATAGAATTAATAACCAGAATAGTTTAACAGAGACAATGAATCAGGATATAGTCTTAAAACACTTTCTATCTTCCATCATTATGCAGCAGAAATTGCCACATTCACAAAGTATACGTTTAAAGAATATGCTTTCTTTGTGAAAACTGGAGTGGGAAAAAGAAAGGCCTATCATTTTCCCTGCTTCCTGTCTCATCCCACTGGTTAGGAGTGAAAGTAACAGAAATGAAAGCAGAGAAATAAAATATCCAAGAGAAAAATAATCGAGAAAGTACAATTCTCAAGAGGTTGGAATGAAATTAAATAAGTGCTAATGAGCAGTAGATAAGCAGTGCTTTGGGGGAGCCATTTAAATGATAGAAATGAAAAGAACTGACAAGTGAGGTTCTCCCAACCAGTTCTATTAATACTTACACTAGTAAGTGCTGCTGTCTAAGAAAAACCTGAGAAACTGTTTTGAGGTTCTCACCCTTTCTTTGGGCATGTCAGCCCTGTGGCACATGATCAAAGCATGCAGAGGACGAAACTTCTGGCAGAGTCACTTAGAAGTTCACTTTCTGCAGGACTCAGACAAATACAAAGTGAAAACAAAGTTTTAAGACATATAAACTTTTAGGCAGAATATTTCAATGTCAAGGAGAACCTGGCCAATTCTAGACTAAAGAAAATTTAGAAAGGGTCACCTCTCTAACTGACCCTTTTAGCACAGAGCTTGTGTACACTGTTCTCCAAGTTCATGTCTCTGAAGCAAAATGGAAACCATAAATAGTACATATCCAAGTTAAGTTAGCAAGTAAAAAGGGTCAGAAGGTGGATTTGGTCTTTTCTGAGCTACAAGAAAGCTCTAAAATAAGGCATTTCTTACAGAAAAGGCCAGAGCCAACTGATGCATCTTACTGTGCATTCCTTGGGAGTCCTGGTGGCCCTGACATACTCAGAGTATCTACCCAAGACACGAAGAGGGAGGACAGAATCAGCCCAGGTCGGGGATGGGTGAATGCTGTAGGAAAGGAAAAGCTCTCATAAATGAAGTTGATACATGGGGGGCTTTGTGAGACCTTGCAGGCTCCAGGTCAGTGGTTGCTCTCACTTCCATTCTGTTTTTGACACCCTTGGCAATAGCCTATAACCAAACTGGGAACTAGAAAAGACAGAGCAACAATTCCACTGAAGTGATCCATGAGAAAACCTGGTATACAAAACAATGCTTTTTACTAAGGGGGAACCATGGCCTAGCTCTATTACACAAGAATCAAAATGACTTAGACTTCTAAGCAAGAGATGGCCCAGATCCACTGACTCATATGCTGGTGCTCCTGCCTTGGAAGGAGATTTCATAGCAGGCAGGTAGGAATAGCACAACAGCCCTCTATGGGAGAAAGCATAATCAGCAATTTCAGAATTTCCCATAGGATGAGAGAAAACTCCCCATGAGGGAAACTCCATTACCAGATTTCTCTTGCTAACTCTAAAAGGTAGAACGGGAAGCAAAAAGATTGAGATTGAGAGCTACGCTTAATTCAAGAACCAAATATATCACTTACTGACAGTGATCTATTATTGGCTTTACTATCCCTTAATGTTATTTTCCACCCCAGTTAGCCTCCCAAAGCCAGCTCAATTGGAGGTGCTTCTAGAAATAGGAATCTGGGACTCTATTTCAAACTGTGAAGCTGAAGTTGACGTCTAAATCTTGATACAAACCCTTTCTATTGGCTTAGATTTCTTCTTTATAATAATAACTGCCGCTACTACAATGGAACACTACTATGGGCCAGGCACTGTGTTAGATGCTGCATATATTCCAGATACATATATAAAGGATAAATAACATCACATATTAAGGATATATATAAAGAATAAATAATGTGACACCGGTCAACAGTTCTTGCAGAAATGCCATGGTCAAAAGTTAACCATATAGCAGAGATAGAGACAGAAGCTATGAGCTAGACTACAGATAGCATCTGCTGCCCTAGTTAGTGAACAGAATACAGCTTTCCAATTTAATTCTGGAGAGAAGTTTTGAGATCACAAGAACATAAAGAGACAGATGCCTTGCAGAGTACGATGGGGGAAATGAGCAGAAAACACAAAATCATATTTAAAAGGGGCCAGAGGAGAAGAGAGACCATAGGAAAAATGAAAGTAAAGATTTGACACTCCAGATGCCTCAAAAAATAAGACAAGGCCTGCCTAAGGATTAGGCCACCAACAGTGAGCTATCTGAGGCTGTGTGGAGAATGAGCTAGGTTTAAGCAGATTTAAAATGGCTAGAAACTAAATCTTGGTAAGTCAGGGTTGCAGTGTTTTGCCAAGAAGTATACACTCCAACCGACACCCAGCCTTTGGTTGATAGGAAGGCAGCTACCATTGCTAGAAATAAAGGAATTAATCTTTTGATAGGGCACTAATTTACTGGGCCCACTCCATGGCCCAAATTTGTAAGTGGAGAAGATGAATTTACCTTCTTTAAGGATCTCAGTAAACCATATTCCAAGACTGCCCTCTCCAGGATTCTATCTTTGTGCTTCCTTCTCTATCTGCTATTGAGGTAATGTTGAAAAGGGGAAAAAGAAATATTTCTGGGCCAGATGCAGTGGCTCATGCCTGTAATCCCAGCACTTTGGGAGGCTGAGGCAGGAAGACTGCTTGAGCCCAGGAGTTGGCAGCCAGCCTAGGCAACATAGGGAGACCCTGTCTCTATAAAATATATATTTTTTAAAGGAGCTAGGTGTGGTGGCATGCACCTGGGGTGCCGGCTACTTGGAAGGCTGAGAAAGAAGGATCACTGGCTGCAGTGAGCCATCATTGTACCACTATACTCCAGCCTGGGCAACAGAGAGAGACCCTGTCTCTAAAACATAAAATAAAAATGAATTTTTAAAAAAGATATATTTTTGAGTCAGCCACAAGGGGAAGAGCCATGTGATGTCAAGAATAGGATGCCTCTGTTCTTTCTCCACATTCCTATTTGTACAGAACTGTTGTAGAAAGCCTGGTCTCTACAGAGTCTTTCTTGAAGCCCCTTGAACACAATGAAAGTCCAAAGAGCAACAACATAGTCTTCACCTCCGCCAAGTCAGCTCCAGTATATCTTAGACTCACAACACTAAAGTATCTTTCCTTTAAGATTTCAAGACTGTCTTTAGAAAGATAAATATTACCCCGTAGCAATGATTTAAATTAAATTAAGGAATCTTAACCTGGGGTCCATGGATGGGCTTCAGGGGGGGTCTGTGAACTTTCATCTGATTCTCAAAGGGATCCAAACCTTCAAAAGGTTAAGAACCACTGGGCTAGCTCAACCAGAACCAAAAAGAAAAAGGCAAAAATTTTAAAGCGATTGTCAATTAGCTAACTCTCAACCCACCCATTGATTCTGTTTTTTCCCTTCAAACTTCTGTACTTTTTGTTGCCAATACCTTTAGTTGTATCTTATCTTACCTTTGATTTTTTTTTAACAGTGTCTGAATAAACTTTCACTGGGATTTATGTCTGAGAATGAACCCTGAATAAGTACAGTAGATGTCTACTGGTTCTTATTCTAGTGAGACAGATAGCAGTAGAACATGATAGACAGTGATTATTCAATAAGTGCAGTTCACTAACTCCAAGTCTCTTAAATTTGTCTCTGATACAGGATTAGTTAATTGGGTAGATCTCTTCTGTGATTAAAAAATTCCATTAATACAGTAATAGTAAAAGTGTAATTCTCTGAATAACGTTCCATCAACAAACCATGCGACAAGAAGCCTAGAAATCACAAGCAATGAAATGACGGCAAATGTCAAAATTACTGTAATTCCATGGAGCCAGGAAGCAAATGATTTATATACAAAGAGACAGCTAGCTCTGTGACAATTTCTTCAAATATGGTGAGATCCAAGTGATTGTGAAGCACGTGCTTTTTCAATAGCATGGATGGAATGGGGGCTGCATGCCTGGCAAGCACTCAGAGAAAACTGCCTGAGGACCAAACGACCATTCCAGAGAATGTCTCCCAGGAAAAACATGCAGAATGCAAGGCCATATCAACTGTATTGATGCTGGTTTAGAATGGTGGACAAAACGAATGGAGGAGAAAGAGGAGATGTGGCAAATTCAGTCTTATGTACAAATTTTCTCACCTGGAATTACAGAGATAGTTTTCAAAGCTCGGAGAACCCTGAATGTTCTCAGCGCTGAGACATTGCCCAGGTCCACAAACTCTGTCACATATCTGTAGTAAGGGAGGTCACACACAGACACAAATGACAAACACAGACACAAACACAAACACCAAAGGAGAAAACAAAACCACAACAAAACAAAAAGTACAATACGTCACGTCAGGGCCCTATCCCAACACCTAACACCAACCCCGGACCATCTTACCTGGGATTACCGAAATAGTTTTCAAAGCCCTCAGTACCCTGAAAGTGCGTAGAGCTGAAACATTGCCTAGGTTTACAAACTCTGTTATATACCTGCAGAATCAAACCAAAGTTAACTTGTAATGGTACCACTGGGCGAGGGTTTGAGAATGGGGGAAGAAAGGGTCTTATATACAAATTATGATTTCATTTTTTTCCTTGAAAAAGAAAAGTTTCAAAATATAAACATTTAAGGAACATTGGGCAAGGAAATTCAACAGTATATTAGAAACAACTGACAGAACCAGGAGGTTCTTGGAATTTACTCCTTTAATCAGCATAGTCATGTGCTGATCCCAATCAGAATGGCTTTACTGTCGGTCCATTCACTCTTTTTAGTAAAAAGGAATGTCAAGAGGTATCAAAGGCTTATGTTCCCAAGTTTTGTGAACAGTATCTTAGGAGAGGGAGACAAATTTCTGCAGCAGGAGCCCACAAAAACAAATCTACATTCAAATAACTCTGTAGCTGACAATGGCAAAATTGACTAAATGTCTGTATATATGACTTATTCAAGAGTTGTAATCATGATTGTAGTCATGTCTATAAATGAAGTTTTGGCCTATGACATACAAAAGCAGGGCTCAGGAATATCCAAATCATGAGATCAGAGCAAATACTGTGTTAAGTGCTCATTTTAATTACAAGCTCATGCCTAGCAAGGACACTTAAAAATTTTAAATGAACACCAATGTGTATTCATAAGGCTAGAAAGTAAGGCATTTCCTTTATATAAGAGAAAATCAGTTTCAGTTTCAAGTATTTGATGCATATCATTTATTCACATTTTACAGCTGAAATGCATCTTTCCACCGGATGCTCAGATCAATACATATTCAAATGCGTTCTTTCTTACACATCATGCATACACGAAAAACCGATACACCACCTCCACTACACTCCCAAACCACAAAATGCTTCCCCAACCTGGAAATAAAAATAATAAGCTTGCTATAATGCTTCTATCATCAGCTAAGTTTCCCAAAGATACATTTTTATTGCTAAAACAACACAAATGAGCAAGAGCAGTAACATACCAATGTGGAGTTACACTGATCTTGAGCAATAGTTCGAAATTCTGGTTAGTAACTCTTCAGGAGGTGCCAGTTTGGATATCTTGGCTCATGTTTTGACTCTAAAATGTGCTCTGAAGTCTGCAACACCTGGCCAGCCTCATTAAATTACATGCGGTAAGACATACCCAGGAAACTCATTTTCAGCTGAAGGTTTTTTACATTTAAAAAATTTCAGGTCTTCACAGAGGCCTTGTAATGATAGGTGTGCAAACCTTGATCAATGTTATAAGGATGAATAAAATATGAGAGAGTGTCCATGGGAAATCACCTCCTACTTTCTCTCCCAGCTGTAAAGCCTCTGCTTGCCTTCTCCCATGTAAACACGTTATCATTATCTGAATCACAAGAGGCCCTCACAAGCAAGAATCATAGACGTAAGTCCATAGGGCCTTACATGGTTATCCATTAATTCCTCATACAGCTGTGTCCATAAATGCACACTTAGAAACACTGTCCTGCAAACAGACCCAGGATCACAACTCCACACACGGAATCACACCCAGAATACCAATAAAGTAAGGGGAGAACTTACGCCATCATGATGACACTGAAATCTAACCAGTTCCACGGATCCCGTAGAAAGGTAAAGCCATCTATGCAGAAACCTCTTGCAATGATTTTCACTAGTGATTCAAATGTATAAATCCCTGTGAACGTGTACCTGTCAAAGAAATGAAGAGCATGAGGTAATTTCTGGATAGAAACTTTAAATGAACCTTTTAAGTTAGCACTTGCCTGAAGTGTGGCTTCAACTAAGAGAGACAAAACAGAAAGGGCACAACCAATGCAGCAGGAAGGAAATGAGGAGGAAAAAGAAATGCTTTGAAGGAAACTTACTGAAATACACAAACCAAGACCTCTGGAATATTGTATTGGGTCCTGAATTGTATTCCACGGAACTAACTGTGCTCCTATCTAGTACATGATCATTTTGAAGCAGGTAAGGAGGCCCACGAGAGCTGTTTTTAACCTTAGAGAGTCAAAAAACAGGAAAACCTAAAATTGGAGAAAACAGCATCACCAGGTACTGAATACAAGATGGTGATGGGGCTGCAGGACAATGCAGTGCCTGGCACAGGAAAGGGTAGAGTGAAGGGGGGCAATTTCAAGAGTATACTCTCTCTTCCTAGAGTTGACTTCTAGGGAGGGATACTTCCTAAATTCCACATGTACTTTCAGCCTTCTCTGTGAAATAAAGAGAGGCAATAACTAATTTTTTTTCGCCTTAATGAGTAAACTGTGGCAAAGCAAGATTCAGTGACTAAAAAATCTTTAAAACAAACAAGCATACAAATAAATGAGTTACTTACTCCACATTCTTCGACCAGTCAGGAGGGTTACTAAAAGTCATGAATACACAGTTGGTCAAAATAGTGCACATAATGATCATGCTAAATACTGTAGAGAAGAGTCAAGGGGCAACACACAAAACCTGGCCTGCCTTTCGTTTTCTCAGAAGACAAACACATTTCCACTGGGAATCAGGAGATCTAAATCAATAACCTGAAAGGAGATGAAGCACAGAAGAGAAAAATGCAAGGTGATAATGAAACTGTGGTCACTACCATAAACACAGGATGCCACTGTTAACTGTGGATGGATGGGGCAGGATGGCTGTTCTTCTTTCAAAAGGGCCATCACTGTACTGCTCCTTTTGGATGAAACGTGTTCCCCTCTAACCACTTTTCACCTCAACTATGGACTAAGCCTCTAACAATTTCTGCACTTAGTACAATACCTTTGTAGTTTCTCAACCAAAGTTGTCAGATAAGAAAATCAAGTAAATCTATATAACTAGGTGTTCATTCATTAGTAAGGTAATTATCTTACATGGCTATTTATTTGAAACTTTACATGCAATGGTTCACTTTACTCCCATAGTTGTTGTTCTTTTTTAAGAGACAAGTTCTCGCTATGCGGCCCAAGCTGTTCTTGAACCCCTGGGCTAAAGTGATCTTACCTCCTAAGCATTCTAAAGTACTGGGATTACTGGCCTGAGCCTCCACACCCAGCCTTCCCTAGTCCTTCTAAAGAGATTGTCTTTAGGGGCAAGGCATTAGCCAATATATCCCATATGTGTTGAATATGTCCAATATGGGAAACCAACTGTGGCGTGTTAAGTAAAGATTTCAAGGACATCTTTTAAGCACACTTCTGAAGATTAGGTAATAAAGCAAAATCCATTCTGAAAGTGTCAAGGAATGTTTATGGATAGCAAACCATACTACCATTTCAGTTCCATCCAGAATTTTTCTCTTTCTGATCTTGTCTGAGAAAAATTAAACTATTTTAGGTCAGCACAAGTTACTCAAACTTTGTCACTTAACAAGCCTGGGGGCCATATCCCACATGCCACTTATTAACCGTCTCTTGTTAATGACATTCACTATCTTTATTCTACCAGTGGAATTTTAAAAAGAGAAAATATTTCTTACAGCTGGACTTTTTTTTTTTCTTCGTTACAGCTGGATATGTCTTCATGCTTTTTGGAACCAGAAGAGAAAAAACACTCCATCTTCTGATCCAACAGAAAAGAAGAAGTCCATTGTGAATTATTTATTTCCTTATAAACCTTAAGGTTTCAGAATTGTGTTGTTTATAAACTACAGATTTCACAACCACATTGCTAAATTCTTAAGAGTAAATAAAATGTGGCAAAAGCTTACTAAACCAAATCACCAAGTTGCCACTGCTGGTTCCCTCATCCTACTTAGGAGGACACAATAATCTTTGAAGAATGTGACTGTATGCTGTTAAATACCACCCAATCATGGAAGTTCAAAGTCACTATGCAACATCGCTAAATCCATCAAATAATTTTTCATTTGCCACACACTCTCTCCTATGTTAATAAGGTGTAAATCAGGCCACTTGAATAAATTGGCATTCTTCTATTTAAGGCAAGTAAAAATATCAGAAAAAATTCCTGTTTACCCTACAATCTGCATCTAAACTTCTATAACAAGGAGAAGTTTGTTTCATCTGAGAGCTATCTCACTTTCCAAGCTCACTGCTCAAAAAATTAAAAAAAATTCAAAGCTGATTTCTAAAGCATTCATCCAACTATTTGTAACTTAAGAAGTGTTTTCAAAAAAACTCTAATATTGGCTTTTAATATATTAAGCTGAATAGTTGACCATGGAATGAAATCACTGAAGTCTGAACAGTAAATGAAGTTAAGACTTCAACAAAGTTTATCTTAATTTGTCCCGCACAATGATACCAACAAATTTCAGATTCCCACAATATCATCCTAAGAAAAAATAATAATTTGCTGAAGCTCAGCGTGGGATGTGGCAGGAGTTTACTCTTAAACTTCTGACCGATGGGCTAGTTAACTATACTATCAGTATAAAACTTAACATATCATCCAGTTGTCAAACATTGGGAAGGTAAACAAGCAACCAAGCAATTGCTGCACTCACTCCACATTTGCAGAAAAGGATATGAATGTATCAAAATTTTAATAGCTATTCTTCTTATCAGGTTAAAAGGACTTAAAATATACAAGGCAGGCGTGGCACTAAATCTGAAGAGAGTTTTCCCTCTGTTTAATACTACAAAGGTCTGTGGAGAAAAAAAGAGAGAAATTATTAAAGCATGGGTATGAGTCACCACATGAAACAATGATTTCTAGGTAAGGAATAAATAAACTCAAAAGTCCTTAATAATTTTTACTTCCCAACTTGGTTTTTAAACAAGCAACCTTAACACAATGTATCTCCCTTTGCCCCACACCTCCCTCCCTCTGCCCTGCCCAGATTATATTACAAAGAGATGGCACAACCTTGGCAGTTTTACAGAATAAACTTGTTTCTTTCAGAAACAGGCCATTTGAATCATACGTAAGCTTCTATGCCAGCTCTGTACAAGATACTGAAGTTCACTAATTTAGGATTCATTCACTCAACAAATACTGACTGAACACCTACTATGTGCCAGACAAGGTTCTAGGTGCTTGGGAACTGTCAGTGAACAAGCTAGTCCTGGCTCAAAGAGTTTATATTCTAGTAGAGAAGACAGACAATAAATAAAAACTGTAATAAATGAGTAAAATATAGACTGTGCTACACAGATGATGATAAGTGCTATGAGAAAAGGAGGAAGAACAGGGAGAGGATGATCAAGAATGCTGCAGTCAGGGGATGGATGGACGAATGAAGAGGGAACGGTTTTAAAGGAGGTGGTCAGGATAAGCCTCTTGAGAAGAGAGATTTCAGCAAAGACTGGAAGGAAGTGAGAAATGTTCTTCATTCAATCAATATTTACTTACCAATGTTCAGTCTTCTTCATTCAATCAATTTTTACTTACCAATATTCAATCTGCTTTATCTGGCTTTCAAGAGCCCCCAATATCAGCCTTGCCAAAATAATTACATTGTATTTCCCAGCATGAATTTTCCTATCAGCCAAACTAGCTCATGTCCTCAGAACAGGTTCTAGTAATTCATAACATTGGCCTTTGTTTATATTGCTCATTCTACCCAGAATGCCCTGCCTCCTAAATTCAATTCAATTCAAATATTTTTGAGCATCTATTCTGTGCCAAGCATTGTGCTAAGTTCCAGGACACAACACTGAATAAAACTGTACTTTTAGAGAAGACACATATGTGAGCTAGTAATTATGATGCAGGTTAAGTACAAAGTTCAATAACAAAAATATGCATAATATATGAGAGGCAGCAGGAGGGAGAGATTTCTTTCCCCTTGGCTGGGAAATAAAAAAGAGAGTGAGCTGGGAAGTTCACAAAGGAAGGTAACTAATATTTGGAAGGGGCTTTAAAGGACAAACAAGAATTAAGAAAAATCAATTGGGCAGATACAGGGGTAAGGGATGGAGAGGTAGGGGAACAAAAATCACATGTATGAGAGCATGGTAGCTGGCCAGGTGTGGTGGCTCATGCCTGTAATCCCAGCACTTTGGGAGGCCAAGGCAGACAGATCACCTGAGGTTGGGAGTTCGAGACCAGCCTGACCAACAGGGAGAAGCCTTATCTCTACTAAAAATACAAAATTAGTCAGGTGTGGTGGCGCATCCCTGTAATCCCAATCCCAGCTACTTGGGAGGCTAAGGCAGGAGAATGGCTTCAACCTGGGAGGCAGAGGTTGTGGTGAACCGAGATCATGCCATTGCACTCCAGCCTGGGCAACAAGAACGAGACCCCATCTTAAAAAGAAAAAGAAAAAGAAAAGAAAGAAAGCATAGGAGCATATAGCTGCAGGTTTTTTTGTTTTGTTTTGTTTTTCAGAGAATTGACCAGTAATTCAGTGTTGATGGAGAATAAAATAGGGAAGAGGGAGGGCAGACTATGAAGCTGAGAGATGCAAGGGCCTACTAGACTGCAAGTTCCAAAGGAGACAGGCCAGTGGCAAATACACAGTTCTAACATCTTGCTGCGTGAGTGAAAGAGCAAATGGCCAAATGCTAGTCATTTTAAGTAGTTTTTTATTTTTTAATTTTGGAGCAATGCATGATCATAATTTTTTTAAAGAAAAAAGGAACATAAGACCAAGTTCCATCTCATTACCCAATGATAACCTTTGATGCCAGTTTTGTATATCCTTCTAAAAATTTTCTGCGTAAATAAAAGCATACATCTGTATCTTTAAAAAGTCTCTCTCTCATATGGAATTGTTCCATAAATATTCTTCTGCATCTTGTATTAAAAAATGAACCCCACAAAGAAGAGCCCAGGACCAGATGGTTCTGCTGATGAATTCTACCAAATGTTTGAGGAAGAATTAAACAAACTCTCCTACAAAATAGAAGAGAATAGAACATTTCTAAACTCATTTTAAAGGTCAGTATTACCTTGATACAAAATCAAAGGCATCATAAGAAAACTCTATCCTAACATCCCTTATGAATATAGACCCAGAAAGCCTCAACAAAAATGCCAGCAAACCAAATCCAGTAGCATATAAAAATGGTTACACACCATGACCAAGAAGGATTTATCCCAGAAATGCAAAGATAGTCTAAGCATTTAGAAATCAAGCAATGTAATGCAACATATTAACAAAGCAGAAAGACCACATGACCATCTTACCAGATGCAGAAAAAGCATTTGACAAAATTCAACACCTTTCATAATAAAAGTACTCAACAAACCAGCAATAGAGATCTTTCTTAACCTGATAAAGGTCATTTATGAAAAGTCCCCACTTTTTTTTTTAACCTCCATCTCCAACAATTAGGTTTTTAGTTTTCTGAGGGCAGAAACCAATCTTATGCTTCCAACCACAGTTCCAATACAATGATCAGTCCATGTACTCCCAACACACAGTTATTAGTGGATGTTTTTAAAAGTTCTCTTCTTATCTTCTATTCTTTCCTTTCCTAATCTACCAGAGTCACATCATTCTCTTCCCAGTGGAAAAGCGGTACTAGTATTGAGCTAGATACATTCTAGAAACACCCACTCCACCATCCCTTGTGTTTGATATTGTACTGCAGTGAATTTTCCTGTACTGGAGTGTACTGGTTCTGGTGGAGTATGCTACAGAAAAAGCCTAATCCTGAAAGCAAGAGGAGGCAGGAGACCTATGGTTCACTTGAAACACATCAATGGCTGAGCTATGGCTCTTCCATATCTTAGCTTCTCAAAGAAACAAATAGCCTAGGGCTTCCCCCAAACCCCTTCTCTGAAGTATTTGTACCCTTCTGTGTTTCTATAGCAACTCCCTCTATGAAAATAGTCTTTTAAATAACTTCCTCATTCAACCTCACAAGATTCCCATGAAGTATGGGTGAAGGAGGAATTATTGTCCTCTATACGTTTTACAAAAGCTCAGGAGAAGAACACCACCTATCAAAGGTCATGCAGCAAAGAGCAGCATGTTACGCCAAGCTTGGATCCTCTCAACAGCGTCTACTGTGCCAAATTGGGAGGCAATTTAGTGGCAACATGGCAGAGAATGAAGCTGGTGTTGGGGATGAATTCTCTGGGGAGAGAGAAATTTCGGTCCCCCGGGGATATATAGGGCAGCTAAGCAACAATGAAAGAAGCACTGGCCCATGCTCCAAGACCTAAAAACGACCAGAACAGACCTTTACAAAATCACCTATAAAACCTCTCTTTAGCAGACAGGCAACAGAATTTTTATTTTTGTATTTTTAGTTTTAGTTTTTGAGACGGAGTTTCACTCCTGTTACCCAAGATGGAGTGCAATGGCGTGATATCAGCTCACTGTAACCTCTGCCTCCCCGGTTCAAGCAATTCTCCTGCCTCAGCCTTCCCAGTAGCTGGGATTACAGGTGCCCACCACCATGTCTGGCTATTTTTTTTTTGTATTTTCAGTAGAGACAGGGTTTCACTGTGTTGGCCAGGCTGGTCTTGAACTCCTGATCTCAAATGATCCACCGCCTCGGCCTCCCAAAGTGCTGGGATTACAGGCATGAGGCATCGAACCTGGCAGGATTTTTAAAAGTAATGTACTCTATACTTTCCATTTCTCTTGTCTCTTGGTTTGGTCATGATGGAAATAAAGGTCTAGAGGTAGCATGGAGGGTATTTCCTATCACTGAATCAGTGCCTGCAGTGCCTGGCATATAGCAGGTGCTTAATACATGTCTGTTGATTGGTTCATGAACAAATGCTTATGTTGTTTTAGGTGAGGGAAAAGGAGAAGAAGAAAAACAAAAAGAAGCCATTAGGAAATGGGAACTGTTACACCTTGGTGGAAGCAAAACTAGGAGGTAGTAGGATTCTGAATTAGGATCAGTCATGAGTTGTCAAGTGGGAGACTGATGATTCTGGGGGATATACTAAACATCTTTAGCGAATTCAAAAACTATGATTTTGTAAGCAGAAGGCTTTACTAAGGACATTTGATGTGTGAAATAGAAATTTCCTAATTAATTTGGGTGCCGAATGCTGCACTTAGAATAAAATTCATTTACCATCACCCCTTTCTAAATATTTACATCTTATATCTTCATCAAATATAAAAACAGTTCTTGGCCAGGCGCAGTGGCTCATTCCTGTAATCCCAAAACTTTGGGAGTCTGAGGTGGGCGGATCATGAGGTCAGGAGTTCGAGACCAGCCCAGCCAATATGGTGAAACCCGATCTCTACTAAAAATACAGAAAATTAGCCAGGCGTGGTGGTGGATGCCTATAATCCCAGCTACTTGGGAGGCTGAGGCAGGAGAATCACTTGAACCCAGAAGGTGGAGGTGGCAGTGAGCCAAAGTAACACCATTGCACTCCAGCCTGGGCAACAGAGCAAGACTGTCTCAAAAAAAGAAAAAAAGAAAGAAAAAGGAAAACACTTCTTTTCTTCTATTCAAAGAAAAATAAACATCTAGTACACACTAAACTCACCAAATGAAGGTAAATCTCCCATACTTTAGTAGGAAATTATATTACAATTAAAAGTTTTATTCTAGAAATAATTAGCTTTACAGATAATTTACAAGCAGTTTTTCATAAATGGATCTTTTTTGAAAAGCAAGAGAGTCTTTGGACAAACACAAGTACTCAAAGCTTAGAAATTTTCCTTTTAATACTGGGGCTTGCAGTGGTTACCTGAGAGAGAGATAAGTAATATACCTGGCACCAG